GGGTAATTTGTAAAGAAAACAAAATTTATTGCTTACAGTTTCTGCGGCTGGGAAGTTCAAAGTCCATCTGGTGGTGGTGACAGTGACCCAGGGGTCTTACATTGCAAGATGGTGGAAGCAGAGAACAGAGAGTGCCAGCCAGCCCTCTCTCCTCTTCTTTTCAAGCCCTCAGAACCATGCCCCTGATCACCATTTTTAATCCATCCACTATTGCACGGTCCTACAATGGTCACCTCTTCAAGGCTCCACCTTTCAATTACCATAATAGGATTTCCCACCCTCTTAACAATCACAGTGGGGGCCAAGTTTCTAAAACATAAAATTTTGGGGACACAATTCAAATTCCTGTGAGTTTTGGGGGGACATAATTCAATCCACTACAGTCACCAATAAGAGCTATTTGGAGCTGTAGTAAGTAAGTTGTATTTTCTTTTCTTTCTTTTTTTTTTTTGGAAGCTGGCCAGTACAGGGATTGAACCCTGGATCTTGGTGTTATCAGCACTATGCTCTAACCAACTGAGCTAACCAGCCAGCCCTCCATGAACTTTTTGTTGTTTTGGTTTTTTTTTTTGGCTGGACAGTATGGGGATCTAAACCCTTGACCTTGGCGTTATAACACTGTGCTCTAACCAGCTGAGGTAACTGACCAGACCCTTCCACAAACTTTTTGAAGTAGCCTCATATTTTATTTTTTTAGGTGAGAAGGAACATCAGAAACATTGAGAGCCCAGGAAAAAAAATCTTTTCTTTCCCTTAAGCTGTCAGTTAAGACAAAATTATGCAAAATTATCACAGAATTATGCAAAATTTATTGTTGATATATATGCTTTCTTTCAGTAATTCTCAAAAGGGTGGTTCCTGCACCATTAGCATTGTCTGGGAACTTGTTAAAAGATGCAAATTCTCTAGCTCTACCCATTACCTGAGTCAGAAAGTTTGAGGGTGGCAACCTGTATTAAAGTTTGAGAACCATTGCTTTATTTGATTTATCCTCCCAGTTCCTGCAACGTAGTGGTTGGTGAAACTGAGTAGCTAGGGGACTTGGCAAAATCACGAAGCTATTTATTAAAAGTCATTAGAATGCAGGCTGCTGGCCGATGGCTCAGTTGGTTAGAGCACAGTGTTGAAAACACCAAGGTCAAGGGTTTGGATCCCCTTACCAGCCAGCTGCCAAAAATAAGAGGTAGAATGCAGATTGCAGGCAGAGTAGTGCTCTTACTGGGACTAATGGATACTAATAGAACAGTTTCATCATTTTACTGTTGGAATTATGAAACTGCAGCCACGGGCCCTTAATTAGCTTATTATCAATAGAATTTAGAAACTTTCTTATGGGGTAGTTTCTCTGCTCATATTTCTTTTCCCTGCCTGAGTCTGTATCTGATGATAAATAGCATTTAATCACTCATTAGAATTAAAAAAAAAAAAAAAAAAAAAACTGGAAAAATAACTAGGCTCAAAGTAAAGTGGCGTGTCTGATACTGATGGAGGTCATGGACCCTCAGGGGGGTCCTTCTGGGACCTGGGGAAGTTGGCAGTTGCAATAAACAGTTGTCAGAGTAGACAGATGCTCAAGACCTCAGTGGGGCCTGTGGGAGGCTTGGTGTTGTGGCCATCAAGTCACAGCTCAGTTTGTACCCAAAGTAGAGGACAGGCTGGGGTTGGGAAGAACTGCCACTCACAGTATAATAGTTAGAGGTAAAATCACAGATACCCTCCTAGACCATCTGTTATCAGTGGATCCAATTTTGATATGATAGGTTACATGGTATTTCATTTATAAGAAGTTTTAAGTGCTTTCAGAATTCTTTGTGACTCTTAGGGACAGTAATTGCACTGAATTATTACTTTACAGACCCTATCCAGAGTTGAGAAGAACAAATTTGTACATTGAATACTTTCAATAGAAACATTTGTATTATCTGTTTCTGTTGCTTAGAATACCAGAAATTGGGTAATTTATGGTATTTATTTCTTATAGTTTCAGAGGCTGGGAAGTCCAAAGGTTAGGGACCACATGTCCCTGGTGAGGGCCTTCTGGGTGGAAACTCTACAGGGTCCCGTGGCAGTGCAGGGTATCACATGGAAAGAATGGGCTTAGCAAGAGACAGAACTTGTATTTTCTGTAAAGTCATTGACTCCTGCCTTCTTCGTCAACCACTATTAAGACCATTCGAGGGCCGGCCCGGTGGCGCACTGGATGGTGCACCGCTTGGGAAGCGCGGCGGCGCTCCCGCCTGAGGGTTCGGATCCCACATGCAGACCGGTTCCCGCTCACTGGCTGAGCGAGGCGCGGGAGTAACACCGAGGGTTGCGATCCCGTTGCCGGTCCCCGGTCTGGTAC